TTACTGGTCTAATAGAACCCTACTTGGTTAACTTAAACCTAAGATTACATCCAACGCACAAACCTATGGGTGTGCCTGTGACCGTATTGGCAGTTGCTACAGTCAATCGAATTATTGTGTTGATGGCGGTGCTGCGACAGGCTGAATTCGAGATATTTCAGCGTTGGCACTTGTCTCCGCCTGGTTGCGTTCAGTCTCCTCTTCTGGTTGTGTAATACATAAAAAGGCGCAGCCAAGGCGCTGAGTCATCTGTGTGGGAGCTAAGAGCGAGAGACTCAGCTCCTGGTATTCAAGTCGATTTTTGATCTGAAATACTTTGATCTCCTGTACCAGCAGCTGAAATTGACTTTCTGAGACGAGTCGCTAACATTGCGGTCTCGACATGGTCAGAAGTGGAGCAATCCGGAAGAGGCTTGACATACAGCCGCTGCTTCTTCAGATCGAGAAGTAACAGCTGTGATAGTTCAGGAACGTATTGCCGACCTCACGCGCTTAACTGCTCGAGCACAGTTGCTCGCCGTACAGCTCGTCGACTTTACAGTTGCTCGATGGATCTTAAGTCGGCTGTTAAAATTTGAGGATTGGGTCATTGATTGGCTTCTGCTTCCAAAGTCATAAAACAGAAGGAAGCAACTACAACCCATGATAATAGTATGAAACTGGATTTTGCAATTTGCTTCATACACCATTACACAAGTATATTCAACACAATGCAACGCAAAAATTCCAAATGCTGCAACGTGCGAAGATATTAGTCATCATTGGAATATGCTCAAACCGTCGTGCGATGTTGTTTATAGGCTTTACTCTCGTATTTGCCGACAATAATATTTCCCATTTGATTCCCTGTTTGCTTCTGCCACGAGATCGTCGTAAAGGGCTCCAATCTTCACAGCATAGCGGGTCAACAACAAGGTGGTGGTCAGCTGACAGCTCTGTGCCTGTCTTAACACGAACATCCATTACAGAGCTTCGTAAATCAGATGACGGGATTATCAAATCGATCATTTACTTATGAGCAGTGCCTCCATATATCAGATATACTGATGCATGCTTCGATGCTCGAAGAACGTTCGTAATGGACAGTCCGTTGTTCGGACTAATTCGCATCAACTTTGTAGCGCTAGAACCGTTCTATTCAGTCACACCTTTCCACTTTTCAGTGTCTACTCCGACAGCATATCGAAATCGTTCATGACAATTAGGCACTCAATAGTCGGCATTTCGTACATTTCGTACATTCTACTTCCTC